GACAACCAAGAAAAAAATTTATATTGGACCATTCCTTTTTCCACCCAATTCAGGTTGAGGCAGACCAATAGACGCACTGTAATAGACTATGGCTGTTTCATCATTAATGTTCAGACATCCTAGTTTTCAATAATTTATTATGGACCTATTATTACTCATGAATCAATAGAAACCTCTTTATATTTTGGGATTAGTTTCCACAAATACAAAGTTGAATTTCCTTTTATTTGTCCTAAAACGTTTACTTTCAAACTTGAAGGGACTTCAGTTATTCCATGTAGCTTTCGATAACATTCTCTTGTATCTTTTCAGACCAGAGTCACCTTCCACCCACCCTTTGGTCACTTGAACTGCCTTTCTGTGGTTCTTTTCCCGCTTTATCAGATCTTTCTTGACGTGTAGTAAGCAGACCTGTACTGGGTATTCTGGCTGCAGTTTGGTCTAGAATGTGATTTAACCTTCATTTCTTTCTAGGGCTGGGACTTGGACCATGATCTTGAGTTGGAATTAGATCTTGGAAAAGATGGATTTTGGTGTTTAAATCTGTCATTGTTGGAATGGCTTCTGCTACGCTGTGATCTTTCAGTCGGTCTCCTGTTTCTAGGACTCTAAGATCTTCTATAGTTATAATCAAAAGAGCCACTTCTTGATCTCCTTCTTTCATAACTTCAGTTTCTAGAACATCTGTAGTCGTCTTAATCATCATAGCGTGAAGAACTGTACACATTCCTTCCTTCTTTGGCTTTCATCTGATTTGGTGTCTTCCGATCTCCTTGTGCAAATTGCATTTCAATTTGACGTCCACAAATCCATTTTCTATCCAAATTATGTAAAGCATCTTCGGCATCATGATCATCCTCAAAGTGAATATAAGCAAATCCTCTTGGACGTTGAGTGTAGAAATCAAGTGGAACATACACATCAACTATAGGGCCATAGCGACCAAATTCTCAATGTAAATCTTCAGACCTGGTATCATAGAGACGTGTTGAGGGGGAGGGGTGGCGTGCAGGTAGCGGGACATGTTGACAGCGTGGGTATTAACGGGCTCCACAAACCATCCCTGCTCACTAGTTTTTACATGTGCAAGAGTATATTAAAATATGTTGTCTGTTTTAACTATGACTCTTTTATAAGTACAGATATCCCAACTCACATGGGATAAAATGTAGATCATTTCTCATTCTTGGACTAGTAAGGTCCCTGGGTAGCATAAGCGGTTTGCAGTTGGAGTCCTGGTGTGTCACTGTAGGATAAGTACTGGACTACAGGGATGGTTTGGACTTCAAGGTTGGTGGTTCAAACTCACCAGCCATTCCTCAGAAATCTTACACAGGGTCACTTAAAGTCGGAACAGACTTACTTTATGGCACTTAACAATAACAATGAACCTAGAAGTTGACTGAACGCGCTCAGAGACGCTGTTGGAGAAAGGTCTGGTGATCGGCTTCTGTAAAGATTACAGCCAAAAAATCCCATGGAGCAATTCTCATCTGTGGCTGGGCTTGCTATGAGTCAGAATTTACTTGATGACTACGGTTTGTGTGTTGTTTTTGCTGCTGTTATTGTTAAGTGCTGTCAAATTAATTCCAACTCGTCCACCAACCTTACAATTCAAACTGACCTTGTGGCCCAGTGCTTATCCTAGAGGGCCACATAAGGACTCAGACTAGTGTAGGAATGGGTTTATCCTTAGGCCTAGCTCAATCAACAACTCAAACAATGTCATCAAGTCTTGCTTTCTTTCTTTCAGTCAGGCAGACTTTCTTATCCTCTTTGCAAAGAAGCTGTTGGAAACTCCAAGGGGCTACATGCTTCTTCATTCATGTCCAACAGGAAAGATAAAGTTCTTCTGATGTTTCCTGTGGAAAAATAAATGTCTTCATCCCTGACCCAATCATTATAGGCCAACGTTGGGGTATAATGATTTATTTAAACCCCACAGGACCCAGCGGCTTGAGTTGATCTCACCCAAACTGAATGGTATAGAATAGGAGAGTGATGAGTTGGCCAGAAGCAAATCAGGGAGCTGTTAGTGTGGTGCTGTAGGATAAGCAACTCAAACCCCCCAGCTACTCTTTGGAAACAATATAGAGGGTCGCTTTGAATCAGAACTGACTTCACAGCACCTAACAACAGCAACAACAACAAATTGATGAGCAAAGGGGCTGTCGATTTCTAGGAAGCAACTAACCGTTATTTACCACAGAGCATAAATTGCAATTTTATAGCCACATTTTACTGATAATTATAAATTGAGTTACTAATATAATAATCACTAGTTCATCAACTTTATCATATTCAAATATAAAATTTGCCTTTGGTTAACTCCAGTTGTTTTTATTTTTCTTAATTTAGATTAATTAAAATCATTCTGATTAATTGTAAAGAAGTCACTCTGGTTCTATAGTTATAAAAGAAATAAGTGTTTAACTTATCTCCAAAAGACATGGTCGTGATACCAAATGACATTACATTTTTTTTTTTCCAGTGTAATTTTTCAAGTTTTTGGAGAGTCCTAATTGTGTGTTTTATTTTACACAGAAAGACTATAAAAGGGATCTGGAGACTGAAATTAAAGGGAAAGGTATGCAGGTGGGCACAGATACTCTTGATATCCAGAGAGCTAAGAAAGCATCAGAAATTGTTAGCCAGGTAAGAACATACATAATATGATAGAATATTTTAAAATAATAAAACATCAAATTGTGTTAAAAAGTATATAAAGGTGAAAATCATGTGAACGTGCAAAAACAACCAGACAAAATCATGCCACTGAGTTAATCTCAACTCATAGGGACAGTGCATAAAGTTTCCCAGATTGTAAATCTTTACATAAGCCAACAGCCTTGTATTTTTCCTGTGGCGTGACTGGCAAGTTTGTACTTTCAGTGTTTATTCTATAGCGCAACCTGGACTCGTTGCGAGTATGTAGTATAATAGGAACTCCCTTATTTGTAATGATTTATTTGCAGACATGTTATATACACATGGTGGCTTTGAGATTCAAATGTATAAATATCTACATTGCTGTGGAAAGTTAGGCAAAACTCTGAAAAGTATTTTCTCTTTTCCTAGAAAGACTATAAGAAAGACTTAGAAAATGAAATTAAAGGGAAGGGGATGCAAGTGAGCATGGATATCCCTGATATGCTTCGAGCCAAGAGAGCAGCGGAAATCTATAGCCAGGTTGGTGGCGAATGGAATGAAGGTACTCAGAATATTGTGTTGTAATAGCAAATCTCTGTGTGCTTTGTGTGTCTGTATAATTTATATCTTTTCAAAGGCATTGCATTCAAAGCCAGTGCATTCAATTATAAAGGAATGATTGACCAAACTTGATTAGCCTCATTAATGGAAGGGACACCTGTTGAAGCTTCTGTTCAACAGAAGTTATTGCACGGGAACCTCCCCTCCCCCCGTTTGGGGACCCCCTGTTTTGAATTCAAGGACATTTCTGACCTTTTTCTTTTGACTCCATTTCAGACTTGTATCTAATGCTGTTTGCTCATACATACTACAGGAAATAATCACACACTACATGTCTTTTAAGGCACCCTGGTGGTGCAATGGTTCAGCTTTTGGCTGCTAACTGAAAAGTTCGCAGTTTGAACCTACTCAATGGCTCCCTGGGAGAAAGGTCTTGGGATCTGCTTCCATAAAGTTTACAGACTAGACAATCCTCCAGGGGATCTCTACTCTGTCATACAGTGTTGCTATGAGTTGAAGTTGACTTGATAGCTCCTAACATCAGAACCAACATTTGTCTTTTACCCATTTTATGAGTATTATTATTTAAAATAAATCCCAAGCAAAACTAGCATTGACTAAAATTAACAAAAAGTAAAATTTAGTATTGAATAAAATTAAGTGAAGAATTAAGTATTTTGGGTAAAATTTAGATAATGCCAAGTATGTTTGGTGGATATTCTTTGGAAAACTGGATGTAGGAGAAATAATGGCTACAAAATAAAACATTTAATGAAAGAAGAGGTTACTGATAAAATCTCATTTGAGCAAAATATTAATGAGTCAGTTTTATCTTTGCTATAAAATTTATGTGGAGAAGAATGAATCCCAATAGAAAAAAAGTAGTAAGGGAGAATGAAAAAAAAAATTGAAATAATTATAGAAAAATTGAATTAAATTTGATTAGTAGGCTTCAGGCTTAAGATGATTTTTAACAAAGTTGTGCCCAATTTTTAAAAATTCTGGTTAAAAGATAAACAGGAGCCCAGATATCCATTGGTTCAAATGAGGCATCAATATGGTAATGTTGTCTGTTTCTCAGCTTTCTCAGTGCACCCATGTTACTATGTGGATTCGGAGAAGCTCTCTGTAGCTACAATGGTAGAATTGAGATCCTAGGTAAATATGTAAAATGGATCAATGGCCATTTGAGTCAGTGGAGATAAATTGCTGTCTCAAGAATGCTAAGCTCATTTGTTTATTCAGCAGATGCATTCTGACCACCTGGCTACATGAAGATGGTTTTGCTTTTGGGGATCTATGGATAGTTAATACTCAAAAAACCATACAAATATAGTTTAATAAACCATGAGAAACACTACCAGAGATTAAAGCATAAAGAGTGAAGACTCCCCACAGAAAGTGATGCCTGAGCTCTCAGTCACACTTTCTGCTGTAACTTAACACTGTTGGAAAACTGGATGTAGGAGAAACAGTGTGACACAGGATGCATCAGATTTTAAGGGATTTTAGTCAATATAGGATTCAATGAATTACATCAGAGGATGCAATAACACAGTGGTGCATCCCAGCACAAGCAGTAGTTACCTCTCTTAACTAACAGCAGTGTGCCAGAATAGTTAGCTTCACTGACTTTGGATCAGACAGCTTGGGTTTAATCCCAGCTCTGACACCTACTGGCTAGGACCTCAGTTTCCTCATCTGTAATATGGGGATAATAACAGTATTCACTTTTGAGGTTGATTAAATTAGCTATAGGTGTTAAGTATTATGACCTTGGAGTGGGGTAGGAACCCTGAAGAACAATACGTATTAGTTAGGACGTGCTACATAAGTATTTGTACCACTACAAGGAAGGGATCCCTGGTGGTACAACAGCTAGGCATTTGGCTGCTAACCAAAAGGTTGGTGATTCAAACCTCTCTAATGGTTCCAAGAAGGAAGGTTCTAGCAATCTCCTCCCATAAGTATAATAGCCAAGAAAATCCTATTGGGCAGATCTACTCTATTATAGGGGGCTGCTTTGAGTCAAAATGAACTTGATGGCACCCAACAAGAACAACACTATATAAGGCATTGCTCCTAATGCATCAGAACTTAAATAAAGTATATGAGGGAGTGTCAAAAAGTTCATGGAAAAATTCTTTTATATTTTGATTCCATTTACTCACAAACTTTCTGAAGCTCCCTCATATTTTTGTTGCAGTGTGCTGTTGAGTCAATTCTGGCTTATAGCCACCCTGTAGGGCATAGAAGAACTAACTGACCCATAAGGTTTCCAAGACTGTAGTCTTCATAGAAGCAGATCGCCAGGTCTTTTCTTTGTGAACATCAGTTAGTTTCATACTGCTGACCTTGTGGTTAGCAATTGAGCACTTAATCATTGCACCACCAGAGTTCTTTCAAAGTGTATATTGTTGTTGTTTAGTGCTATCGAGTCAGTTCCGACTCATAGTGACCCTGTATAGAGTTTCCAAAGAATGGTGAATTTGAACTGCTGACCTGTGGTTCATCTCAATCTGGCAGTCTAGTGCTTTATCCCATACCAGGACTCCTAGTTAGTAGGTAGAAATTTAGATTTTTATCTCAACTACAAAAATGCTGTACTTTTCCCACTAGGATACCTAATCAAATGTAGTAGGCAGCAACCCATAGATCCAGACGCATGAAAGGAAGTAGGGATAGATAGTCAGGTCTCTTGGAGAAGCTACGAGGCCACATTGAACAGGGCTTCCTAGGAAAGAGAAAGTCCTAAATTTGGAAAGGATGTAGTGGACATGTCTCCGAGGTGTTTGACCATGAACCATCTCTACTCTACATAAGTAGAGATGAGGGAACTCAAGGGACCTGGACTGTTCGCTTACTCCACTAGCTCTTTTCTTCTTTTTCTTTTTTCAAATCAATAACTGCTTTGCATTATAAATAATTCAGAGCCAGATGGTATGGTAAAATTGGAAAAAATGGTATCATTCTCTCTCTCTCTCACCCACATACACACATATAACACATACATATACATAGTTTCCGATTTATATTAAATGTTTTTGTTTTTAGAGAAAATATAAAGATGAAGCAGAGAAGATGCTTTCTAAATATTCTCCTGTGGCAGATACTCCTGAAATCCAGAGAATTAGGACAACTCAACAAAACATTAGTACAGTGAGTAGCCATTTTTTTCTTTTTATTTGCCACCTTGGCATTTTATGTTTGTAAGAGTAATGTTTTTTCGTTATGATTTTTTTCCCTGCTGATTTGCCTGACTTTTCTGTCAAATGTATTATCTTTACTTCTTTAAAATAACAGTAAGACCACATGTTCCTGCAAGTTACAATTTGTCATGATTACTTTGAAGTTACCAATTTCCTCATTGGTTCTTTTTAATCGATTTTTAAAATTTAACTCAGGAAAAAGCTATACAGATTTTACTTTGAAGTTTAAAATAATCAAATGAAATGATTTCATTCCAGATGATGGATTTATTCTTTCCACTGATCATCTATGAATTTACTAGTTCACCACCAATTCCAAAACTTACTTAGTTTTATGTTGAGGAATAGGGATTTTATCAGCCCCATCAATTAAGATTTTTAGCTTTCATTTAATGAATATGTAAACTTTCAAAAATGATAAAGAGTTGACCACACAACCTGTATTTTCATGTAGATTTAACTCAGTCATTTAGTAGTTGAGCAAGTATCTCATTATAATTTAAGGTCCTTTAAACTTGAGGCCTTTAGCAATTTTTCTAAAAAATATTGGGGACCCCTAATCCTCAGAGAATGGGGTCCAAATGCATTAGTGTCTTCACAGGGAGGACCATGCTGTGGTGAGAAATGAAATATCTTGCTGGAAGTATGAGGGAGATTGTTTTGCCCTAGAATTATGTGACCCCATAGTACTCCAGATATCTGACTTCTGGAGGAATTCTTCTCTAATATTTACCACCTCTCACTTCCAGCATATTGCATTACCAAATGTCAAAATAGAAAGTAGTTTGTTGTCATCTACTTTACTTCTGTGGAGTCCTGGTGTGGCATTGTAGGATAAATACTGAAGTGCTAACCCAAATGTTGGTTCAAGCCCACCAGACACACCTTTGAAACCCTATCTAGTGTTGTTATCAGTCAGAACCAACTCAACAGCTCTTAACAACTTTTCTTATAATGCTTCTGTTTTCTTATGGAGGGTCCTTGCTTTTTGTTTTGTTTTGTGTCTGGAAGGAGTGGATATTGGGAGGAGTGGAGAAACATGGGAAAGTTAGGTATAAGTAAAGAATGAGGAAAACAGACTTTGAGTTGATGTTGATGCTAGAGCTAATAGTTTCTTCGAAGAGAACAGGAATATCTTGTTTGGAGAGTAGCAGTTACTTAAAATTCATGCTGCTTTTGAATTAAATGATAACAATTTAATGCGCTTTTGTAATATGTGCTTTGATTATTCTCATATACACATTTTTATATTTGAAGAAGGAAACCTATTACAAGTTTGCCACTTTGTATTCATAGAGCAAATCATTTGTCTTGAGGTAAAGTACCAGACATGCTTGAGAAAAAGTATTAGAGGGTTAATTAAAAGACTATGGAAAATGGAATCAAAGTTGGAAATTGATTTTTATAATGGATTATTTAATTGATTAATAAAATACAAAGTTGGTACTCATAAATAGAAGCTGTTTTCACAGTACTATACTATTGCCTTTCTTTTATAAGAATTTGTCCTATTGAATTTTCTAATAAGCCTATAGTTACTCTTTGCCTTCTCTTGTAATAAAGGTATTTTATAAAAAAGAAGTAGGAGCTGGCACAGCAGTTAAAGATACCCCAGAGATTGAGCGAGTGAAGAAAAATCAGGAGACTATTAGTTCAGTAAGTTGTTTATAGCATTAATTATCCTTTCTAAAAGAAAACATAAGCTGGATAATTGCTGTTAATTCTTTACTAAACTGGCTGCTTCCCCCTCCCCCCATACTTCACTCTATTGAAATGCTATTTCATCAAATATCAAAGTTCTAACTTTCAGAATGAAACCTAAAGCAGTGTTTCATTTTGATAAATTATAGCACATATGAAATATATCATTTTAATTGTATAGTAATGATATCTATGACTAGAGTTAATTTCTTTGAACAGAATTTTAGCTGTACATAGTGGTTACGAATCGGGCTGCGAACCTTAAGGTCAGCGGTTCAAAACTACCAGCCGTTCCGCGGGAGAAAGATGAGGCTTTCTACTCCCGTAAGGATTTACACCCTCGGAAACCCTGTACAGGGTCGCTATGGGTTGGAACCGACTCAACGGCACTTAAAAAAAAAAAATTTACCAAGAAAGGATAAAGTTCAGTACTGCTGGAGAAAATAATTTTACCCTGATAGAGTGGAGTCCTACTGTGGCACTGTGGGTTAATGTGCTGGACTGCAAGGTCAGTTTGAACTGTAAGGTCAGTGGTTCAAGCTCACCAGCAGCTCCTCAGAAACCGTTTACAAGGTTGCTAGGAATCAGAACCAACTCAAAGGCAGTTAACAACAACAACAAAAGAGTGATTTAAGGCCCTGAGACATATATTTATTTCCTTAAGTGGAGATTTATATTAAAAAAAAAAAATCATACTTTTTTTTTTTTAACCCTGTATCAATCATATCTCTGAGCTTTATCTTAGATACATATTTTCCTCTGTTTCTGCTTTCCAGCTTTGTTTATCTTCTGCTTTAGCCAGCTTCCAGCAAAAAGCAACAAAAACAAGCAATATTTTTAAAAGCATACTTTTGGTATCAGAATTGTTTGTAAAATAACTTACCCTTCATTCACCTTTAATAAGCCCTAGTGGCACAGTGATTAAGTGTTCAGCTGTCAAACAAAGGTTGGGGTTTGAACCTACCTTTCTCTTTGGAAGAAAGAACTGGTGATTGGCTTCCATAATGATTATTACAGTCTAGAAAACCCTATGGGACTATTCTGTTCTGTCACATGGGTCATGATGAGTTGAAATTGACTCGATGGCACCTGACAATGACAACAATCACCTTTGGATTGGGTTGGGTAGGGTAGACAATGTGAAGTATAAACATTCTTATATGTATAAGAGTTCTTTTATGTGTAAGAATTCTTTCATTTAATGCTGACATTTAAAATGGGTAACTATTACTATTATCAGTAGGCATTTGCCCATGTACTTTTAATATAGTTGGTTGTTTGTTGAGGAAGTAAAAACAGTTCTTTCCATAAACCCCTTCCCTGATCCATCTCTTTCATCTTCACTGCTGAAGGCAGTGCCTTCCAGAATCTTTCTTGAAGTAATCCAAGTACAATTGCCTTGGTTAGACACATATGTTAGTAACTGGGATATTTGCACAGCATCCTAAAGATATGAGACTGCACTGAAGTTTGTGGAGAAAGAGTAGAAAAGGAAGGAGGAAATGTATGCTGCAGTATAACATACTTCAAATAGGAATATACTAGAAAAGAGAAAAATCTGCAGCATACCAGTGCAAACAAATCTCTGCAGCATGAATGAGATCATCTTCTGAGGAAAGCATAAACTGAAAGATTGAGAGGCTTGAGACATTGATGAGGGCCTTGATTGTGTTCTGATCCATGGCGGTGAGAGCCTGTGTCAGGCAACAACACTCAAATCTGATAGAGAATTTGTTTGGGATGAAAGTGTGGAAGGTTTGTTGCCTTCATTCTCAAATGATACTATATGAAACGCACCCATCAGTGTACTGTGATATAATGTAATAAATGTTCTGTAGTGTGCAAGTCTGTTGCCTATATTGAAACAACTCTACCATTTTGATTAGTTTAGAGTCATCTGAAAAACAAAAATGCTTATCTTTAATCATGTTTAGCTTTTCATCCAAGGAAAGTCACACACCGTTGTACAGTATATCATTTCTCCTCTTAGCATCCCGCTGCCTCTTCCAGCAAACAATAAATGCATAGTTCTGTGTCTGTGTGAGGCTGTGCCATACACCCTGCTTAGTATTCAAATGGAAAGTTGCCCTTTCAAGATTAGTTAGATCTGTCAAACCAAGATATGATTCTCTAACATTTAAAGATCTCGACATTTTCCACCTCCAGCATACAAGATTTTTAGCTATTAGCTTTCTCAGTTAAGAGCTATTTCTTGAATTTAATTTAGAGTTGGCCCTTTCAGTGAACTCTCAATTTAACTGTTTTAGATCTGGACTAATATTGGTATTGTTACTCACACTAAGTCTACAGCTACTAATACTGCGAATATATTGGTGATATCTAGGATGCTTAGTTACTGTTTCTTTATGTCAGGTCTAATCATTTAAAATATTACTGAGATCTAAAACGTGTTTTGTGTAGACGTCAGTGTTTGCTAAATTTCCACATATGCCTTTGTGTATAGCCAATGATTCCCTGTGTGTGTGTGTGTATATATATATAAACATTATTTTTCTCTAATCCAAACTTGCATGAGTTTTTACTGTTGTTGTTGTTAAGTGCTGTCGACCCAAAGCCACCCTGTACAGGGTTTCTGAGGAGTGGCTGGTGAGCTTGTACCACTGACTTTGTGGTTCAAACTGACTTTGCAGTCCAGCGCATTAACCCACAGCGCCACAACAGGACTCCTTCTTGTTGTTAGCTATGGTCAAATTGTGCCTCCCACCCCGAACTCTTGGCAATTCCATGTGTTACAGGGTGCACTGCTCCCCAGAGGGTTTTCTTGTCTATAATCTTTACTAAAGTAAATCACTAGACCTTTCTTCTGTGGTGCATGAACTTTAAGCATATTAGAAAATTCCCTGATCTAACAAAACTGATAATGATTTCACAAGGTTAAAGATATGTTTGTTATCCCAGACGTAAGAGTAGGTGATATTGCCATTTGTCTGGTTTATCTTCCTGCAATTAGATTAGAAGAAGTTAAGTTGTTTTTTTTTTTTTTTTAATGAAATGGATGCCAGGACATAGGTGGCCTTTACAAGACATGATTGTGTGGGTAGAAGATACTTCCTGACTTTTGGACACTGGCGCTTCTTCTAGTGACTCTGGACACTATGGCTTATGCGTTCAGTACATTTTCCTCTACCGCTCCCTTTTCTGTTTTTCTGTTAAGTGATTGTTTTCTGGATTATTTGTGTGTTTTTAGCCAGAGAAGCAGTTTTTCCAAGACTCTGTAACTACCTCGATTTGACTTTTGCTTTTAATTATACAGCAAATTATAATAACATATTACCACATAGAAACTGCTTTTTGGATAGAAAATGATAAAGCATTATATTATTTTAGATAATTTCTAGAGTTTCAGTTGCACCCACCAAATGATAAAATTTATTTTTATAAGCAAAGTTTGTTTATATTCATTAAAAAATGCCTGTAGTGATGGATAGGTGAATAGATAAGGATCCCTTTACACTTTTGGATAAAGAAGTTCTGTAAGAATCAGGTATAATAAAGGCCTGTGTTTCCACTGAAGGAAAATTAATGTTGAAATTAGAATTTCAATTGTGCAATGGTTATAAATAATCTTAATTAGTTATCAAGACTTGTGTGTAATAAAACTGACATTATATTCTAATGAATTATACAGCTGAAATACAAAGATGAAATTAAACATGCAACAGTCATTTCTGATCCTCCAGAGTTAAAAAAACACCAAAAGAATATCAGTAATGTATGATCATATTTAAGTTTTTTGTTTTTTTTAAAAATCATTTTGTTGGATGACAATGTATAAGGAGGGCATGATACCTGGACAGGTAAAATTCAATTATAATGAATACCATTACAAGGACAGCAGTTCTTTAAAGGGGGTGACAACATTTCATATACTTTTCTGTCCTCCACTACACCATGCCCCAATGCCTCATATATCTTCATTTATTAAGTGAACGCATATGAATATTTTCTCTGTCATAGTTGTTATAATTTATAGATGAGAGGGGTATATCTTAAGGTTAGGGGCTGTGAGTATTCTTGATGTTTCCAGGAGAAACACACTTAGTAATAAATAATTATTTTACGTTGTTTTAAGTGCTGTCACAATAATTGATATTTTTAAATATTTTGCATGCAGTATCTCATTTAATAACAAATAACACAACACCTAACGTGCTGTGGAAATGCAGGGAAGGAAGCTGATGATTGTGGGAAAAAGGAAAAGATGTGAAGAAAGAATAACATGTGAGTTAGAGCTTGAAGAGTTAGGAAGCTTTGGGGTAGGTTAAATGAGGAAGGGTATTCCTGGCAGAATAGACCAGCATGCTCAGGATCTAAGGCTTTTCAAGAAAGAGGGATTTCATATGATGAGTCTTGTTGGTTGCTGTTAAGTCAGTTTCAACTCCTGGCACTTTCAAGGCTGTGACCTTTCGGAAGCAGGTCATGAGGATTGTCATCTGAGGCACTTCTAGCTGAATTCAAACCATCAACCACTGACTCGTAGTCCAGAGCTTAGTAAAATTTCTAGTGATTAGAGATAATGGTACAGAGCCAATTGTGATACATATCATAAGGTGTCAGTATGGAGGCAATATGGACTCAAATATACCAATAATCATGAAGATGGTGTTGTTAAGTATCGTTGAGTCAGTTCCAACCCATTGTGATCTTGTTTAGGGTTTCTAAGGATCAGATGGTGACCTTGAACCACCTACCTTGTAGTTCAAACCAACTCTGCTGTCCAGCGAATTAACTCCCAGCAGCACACCAAGTGTAGGACCAGGCAGTGTTTTGTTCTGCTGTATTTAAGGTCACCATGAGTCAAAGTGACTCGACAACAGCTAATAACAACAACATACAAAAGAAGAAGAACAATAAAACACTATGGAATTCCAGTGTCCTTTAAAGTGGCTCTTAATACTATTATGATATTTAAGATGTTAGGGTTAGTGATTCAACTGCTTTCATGGATACCTTCTTTTAAAGGAAGGGTTACTGTCTTTTAATTTATGGGGAAAACGTAAGAGTACTTTAAAATACATTTATTGGAAAATAATAGTGAATTAATTTGATGGAAAAATTGCTATCATGTGTAACAGCCCTGCCCATATCTGGGGATGGTTATAAAAAATGGTGTACTAATGGTGGAAATTTACAAAACACTGGAGTTGTAGGCAAAAACATGTGTCTGGATGTCTGACTGTAGGTTTGATTTCAGTTCCCGGTCTTCATTTCTGTAGTTTTGTCAACCAAGCTTTAATTCCCTTATCTATAAAACAGAGTATTAAGTGAGATATTGCATATAAAGCATTCAGCATGCTTATGACAGGATGAATGCAAAAAAATGAAGTGTCTTATCAAATATATGTCCATAAATATACATCCACAAGACATTGGCTGCCGTAGTTTTTCTACACCCACATGCTATTCAACCGATCTTCCCCCTTCTGAGCTTTATCGGGAGTATCTTTTCCTGTATCTTACCATCAGTAGAAATTACATGAAACTTTCCTCCCTTTAACTCAGTCATTCCAGTCATAAGGATCTCAAACAACATACACTGACACAAAGTTGCACACTGAGGAAAGAGCTCATACTGGAATATGCCCTGGCCCTTTTTCATTTATTTTCCAGACTTAGACACTTTACTTGCATGTTCACGACTTGTGATTTCTTGAGAGAGAGAAAAAAAATCCCTCACACTAAATTTAAGCTCCAAAAATCATTAAGACTATCCCTGTGGAGCTTCTTATGATGGGATTTTAACCTTTAGTGCTACTTTTACCTGTCAGAAATGTTTTCAGCTGACACGGCATTCTGTTTCTCTGTGTGAAATACTCATTTATTTCCTGGGATATTGTGGGTTTGCTGTGAAAGCATGCTACAAATGATTGAGTTCTATCTACCCAGCTAACAGGGAACACCTCTCTGCAGTAGGTCAGGAATATTTCCATTTCCAGTTTTGCAACTTTGTAGAGTAGGGAACTTTGAGGCTCAGGATTCTTTTGTAGAGTGACCATCTAACTAAAGTGCAGGATTTGGATTTGTGTGACCTTCTTTATAATGATAAGAGAGTACAGAATTATTATTTCTATAATATAAAATAGTAATTTTGATGAACACTGCTCTAGTGCTACAAAGAAATGACTTCACAGAAGGGACATTTATTATTTCTGATAGGATCAAACTCAGGGGCCCACCAGTAAATTCGAGGGGATTTGAAAAAGTTCATGGAAAAATGGAATTAAAAGATAAAAAAAAAAAAAATACAAACTTTACTTCTCAACATAAGTTTCAGCAAGCTTAAGAAACTTTTGTAAGTAAGGATTGTTGTTGTTAAGTGCCGTTGAGTCAATTCTGACCCACAGTGACCCTGTATAGGGTTTCTGAGGAGCAGCTGGTGAGCCTGAACAGCTGACCTTGTAGTTGAAACCGATTTTGCAGTATATCCCTAAGGAATTGAGGGACGTGGGAAATTGACAATGTTAATACAGTCTTTTTTACAATATTAATTGAAGAAAAATGAGTGCCCTTTAAAGACTTTTTTTTTTAAGTTTAGGAAATAAAAGCAAGTCAGAAGGAGCCAAATAAGGACTTTAAGGTAGATGCCTAATGATTCCTATGGGAATTCTAGAGTTGACTGAGAGGAATAAGCAGAAACTTGTCGTGATGGAGGGAGGACTCTCTGGTGAAGACTTGCCACGTGTTTTTGGCTAAACTTTTGGTTAATTTTTTCAAAATACTCTCACAGTAAGCAGTTGTTAGCGTTCTTTGACAGGCCAGAAAGTGAATATGCACATTGCCTTGAGCATCCCCCAAAACTGTTGCCATGACGTTTGCTCTTGACTGGTTCAGTTTTTTTTGTTGTTTTTTTTTAATGCTTTATTGTGAATTATGTGATAGTTTACATGGGAGGACATCAGCTTTACATTGATCCTGTCATATATTGTTTCATTGCCATGGTTACAATCCCCTCCATGCATCATCCACCAACCAAGGGGTATACCCCGCAAGCCTGCCTCCTGGTCATCAGTACACAGCTCCTCTCCCTCTTGGGGTCTAAAGTCCCCAGCAGCTCCTTCTCCCCAAGTCATTGTCTCTGCCTCCATCCCTGGCGTCACTGCTTCTCTGGGTAGTGTCTTGTTCTCCTTTCTTCTCCCTTGATGGTCTCAGGAACCTCTGCTCCTACACTGCAAAGTTAATCACCCCCTTTCCTTTGCCACAAAATGTCTACCTTTACATTTCCAGCCCTTACAATCAGTCCTGATAATAATTATTCACTATTGTATCACAAGAGACCAATCCGCATCTCCTTTCATTAGTTCTGCCCAGACAGATTGGATACTACTCAGTGGAGATTTTACCTTCCTCCATACCCTGCCTCTGGCCTGCAAAATCAATCAATCTCCTCCTTTTGCCAAGAAAAAAAAAAAATCTGCCTCTACATTTCTGGCCCTCATAGTTAGTCCTGGCGGCAGGTATTCACTGTTGTACCACAAGAGTCTTATCCCCATTTCCTTTCCTCAGCCCAGTCCCAACAGTTTGGAAATCATTCATTGGAGGTTCTGCCTATCCCTGCCCTGTATGGAACTAAGCTCCCTCTTGAAAGCTTGCAAGCCAGTCACTTCTTGCCTTTATAGTCCCCTTCCCCCAATTTGGGTCTGGGTAGTTTCCATCCCCCCAAGGTATTCTAGTCAGTTATAGACTGAAGACAGGCTTATATGTTTTCTGTTGTGATGGTTTTGGCTATCTGCCACCCCTCCCCCAAGCATCTGTTTCACAATGGTAGGCAAGTGAAACCAAGATTCAAAAGATGGCCAAGCATCCTAACATTATTCCCCTCTTTTCCCTTTTCAAGCCTTGCCTCAATCCCTGTATCCTGAAGCCCTATTATTCCAAACTTGTGCATATATCATGATATACCTCTGTTCCACCTAGCCCATGTAAGCCTGCCCAATCATTCTTCCGTCCACCTTGTTCTTCTTTTTCCCCTCCCCCTTCTTATGTATTGCCAGCCACCACCACCTCCAGCTCCCAGGCTCTCCTGTGTCTATTCCCTACCATGGGTTCTTTCTTCCCCTCCCTCCCCACCTCTCATCCCATACATACCTGTGATCAGCACTTATATATATATATTTTTTTTTTTTTTTTTTCCCTTTTGGGTGTGTTCTTTTTCTTAGTCTTTTACAATAATGGTATTATGCTTGTCTGGTTCACTTTTGCTTTGATGGGACCACTTCTACCTTTTGGACACCAGTACTTTGATTATGCTTTGTCTTCAGGATTACACTGGTAAAGCCATGTTTCGCCTCTTGTTACAATTCTTCCAAGAAATGCTTTAGGATATTGATCTTATTTGCTTAAAATTTCCATAGACAGTTCTTCTCAATAGTTTTGGCAGCTATCAGGCAGAAAGTTTAATTTTAAATTTTCAAACAGAATTATGTCAGCAGAACCAGTTGAGATGGTTATGGTGTTGGCTACTGTTTCTGCTGTTGATTGTTAGTCCTTTTCAGTTAGAGCATGAAAGAGATTAATTTTCCTCTCAAATTAATGTTGATGATCTGCTACTATGGGCTTCAGCTTCAGTCAGCATCATCTCGTCCCTTCTTAAAACAAGTTATCCATTTTTAAAAGTACTGATTTCTTTAGGACTATGTCCCCATAAACTTTTCGTACATCATCAATGATCTCACGATTCTTGTACCCAAACTTCATCATAAATTTGATGTTTGTTCTTGCTTTAATTTTAACAGAATTCATGTTGCTCTGTTGGGGGCTTTTTTCAAATCATCACATTCTCTTATCCTTCTTACTGCTTAAACTAGCTCCTATTCAGACATGTTACAACAAATTAGTATGAGTTTATTTTAGCACAAAAACGTGTTAATCCATGTAAAGAGTTGTTTGTATAATACACATTCTGATGAGCTTTTTGAAGATTCCTTGTAATACAACTTCAAGCCTACCAACCAAAGGTGTCATTTAAAACACCTGGAAAGGGAAAAAGTTTTGAAACTGGTCACATGAAGATGATGAAGTACTTTAGCAATACTTATTTTATTGTTGTAAATTGTAATGAAATTTTTAATTAATGAATGCTCTGTTAGCCATGGGACTTTTCTTCCAGTTGATTCTTGTGTATTGTATACATTTATTTCCCTTAATCCCAAACTCTCTTGTACCTTGTTTCTCAGCTTCAGTATAAAGAGCAACACTACAAATCAACTCCAGTAAGTATGACGCCAGAGATAGAGCGGGTGCGGAAGAACCAGGAGCAGCTGAGTGCGGCAAGTTGTTTTGCTTTCCCTAATATAGTTTATTCTTAAAAATGCTCCCTGGAAAGCTTTAAACCCTATATATGTTTGGGTGCTCTTTTTCATGTTCACATGTCAAAGGACATGAACTGTGACCCTCTCATAGGAACCCAGGAAATTTGCTACTATGTTGTAATAATTGTTGTAAAGTGCCATCAAGTGGGTTCCAACTCATAGCAACCCTATGGTTTCTGAGGAGTGCCTGGTGGGTTTGAACTGCAGATTTTTCAGTTAGGTGTCCATTGCATAGCCTACAACACCACACCAGGACTCCATTATTATAATTGTTGTTGTTAAGTGCCTTTCAGTCTGTTCCAACCCATGGCGACCCTGTATAGAGTTTCTGAGGATTGGCTGGTGAGCTTGAACTACCGACCTTGAGGTTCAAACCAACTTTGTAGTTCAGCGCATTCACCCACAGTGCCACACCAGGTTCTGTTATAATAATTAGTCATGTTTATTCAGTCAGAAAAAACATCTTCCAAAGTCATCCTCCACGTGCCAGGCATTGTTCTGGGGACTGGTATAGAAATATTGATGTGACACAGTTTCTGCCTTCAGAGACCTCACAGCTTAAACAGTTACTCCTTACAACCACAACCAGGTGAGGCCCTGGAGAATAGTGAGGCTGTTGTCAATATGACAATATATTTGCTCAGTCAGAGAAAATTTATATATTGGAATAGGACAAGAGAACAACTGGTATGACTGGGTTATGCTTGGCATCATGTCAGAACAGGGATCCTTATAAACAAAATGGAAAGCGTCATTTAGTTCTGAAGTGACATAGTGATGTAGGATAAGTCCTGGGCCTCAAGTTGGTTTGAACTGCAGGGTCAGTGATTCAAACTCACCAGCCACTCATTGGAAAACCCTATACAGGGTCACTATAAGTCGGAACTGACTCAATAGTACTTAATAACAGCAAAAGAATATATTTCTACTAAAAGCATTAATAGCTAATAATTATGAGGCACCTACATTGTGTGCAGGAAGAGCACAGTCGCTCTGTAGGATAAGCACTGGACTGAGAACCTCGAGGTCAGCAGTTCGTTCGAGCCTACCAACAGCTCTTCTGGAGGAAGATGAGACTTTCTACTTCTACAAAGATTTCCAGCCTTGGAAATCCTATGCACGGTCACTATGAGTCAGAACCGACATGATGGCATTTAACAACAACAACACTGTGTGTAGGAACTCCCTGTGTAGATAGATGGTTAATGTGCTTAGCTGTTACCAAGAGGTTAAAAGTTTGAATCCACCAAAGGTACTTTGACCATCTACTTCTGAAAAATCAGTCATTGAAAATTCACACACAATTCTACTCTGTCCCATGTGGATTCACCATGAGTCAGAATTGACTAGACATCATTTGGTATGCTAGGCCTTGTGGTAAATGCTTTATGTGAATCCATGAGGTCAGCATTGTTCGTTTCTCAGCTTTACTGATATGGGAAATTATGAATTGAAGAGGTCATAGGACATGCTTGGGGACCATGGCTAGTATAAGACTTTGAACCCAACCCTCCTGAAATCCAGGAATCCTTTCTTCTAAAAGAGCCTTCAGATAGCTCCTTAAAAATACATATATTTTGTGACCCTTTTATGGAATGTCTACTAATACAAACAAGAGTCTCTTTTTCTAAAATCAGTAGTATTTGAAAGACTTCACAATTTAAGAGTTAATTCTCTCAGGTGAAGGAGAAATTCAGACTCAGTACTTCTGTGTTCTCACAATATCCCTAGAAGATGTCAGTATCTTTAGCTTCTTTTGACAGTTGGGAGCTTATTTAAATGCACATAAATGACCTTTTGAGGCAGCCATGCTTCCTTCACTGTCCTTCTCTTAATAACTTCATTCTGGAGTTTCTTGTACAGTAAGTTCCTTGTATCTCCGTTATTGTTTTCTTGGTCTTTGTAGTTGTTTTTTATATTGAGCAGCAAAGTAACTATTGAAAACTGATTTTTAAGAAGTACAATCAAAACTTTGTGTTTGCTAAGTTGGATGAGGTGGAATCCAGGTATACATAGCTTGCTTACCTTTCGGAGGTTGATCTATATCTACTGTGAAAAAAAAATGTATAAGTTATAATTTATTTTGAGGCTCTTCCTGTGTGATCTAGGTGAGGTTCATCCTGCTTTCTATTAAAATTCTTACTTATCTTCCACAGGTAAAGTACAAAGGAGAGATTAAACAGGCAACTACCATTTCCGACCCACCAGAGCTGAAGAGAGTTAAAGAAAACCAGAAAAATATCAGCAATGTGTGATTTTCTTAGTAACTTTTTCCTTATGAAATCAAGCATCTTGTCAACATGTATGGGAGGGTATCAACATGCATGGAAAAAATGAATGAAAGGATACGGGAATTTTCCCACAAATTTTTTGAAGCCTCCTCATATTTACAACATTCTCATAACTTTGTGTTGCTATTGTACTCTCAGTTGACATTTTAGTTGAAAGGTTCAGGATGTTAGGTACTGTGCATAAAGTCAGGCATTCACCACCTCAGAGTTCTCAGTTTGAAAGAATCCTGTATGATTTCTTTCTGGAAGTTACTGTGTATCCCTCTTGTCTTCATGGTTATAGTTCTGTGGTTCCCAACAGGAACGCAGTAGTGATATGTAGCATCTTGGCCTTATAAATAAGCTTTCCTTCCTGTATATGCTCTTGCTCTCTAGCCCCCCCCCCCCCACCTCTACCTGCTTTCTCTGAGCTATTAGTTATTTTTGGATGATGTCTAAGGAGAAATGAGCAAAAAAAGGACCCTTAGTTGCATAATAGGTTTCAAATTGGGCTGTTAACCACAAGAACAGCAGTTTGAGTCTACCAGCCTCTCCACTGAATAAAGTTGAGGCTTTCTGCTCCATAAAGATTTACAGCCTTGGAAACCCTATTCAGGGTTGCTATGAGTCAAAACTGACTCAACGGTATTCAGCCACTGCCACTATGGCTGAGCAAACCATTAGGGATATGCCTATTTTAGGGCTAACTGTTTTTACTTAACTACCAACTCCTGGCCTGCTCTAACTCCCATCTCTTTATGCAATCCATGAATGCAGTTCACTGTAAAAATCACTTCTGAAGTCATTAACATATAGATTGGGTTCTTCAGAAGAAGAAATTTGGAAATCTATTAAGTTGAAAGAAAAATTGTATTTGTCAAACTCTTAAAGTCGTTTGACCAGATTAGAAAGCAAAAGCAGTTTATTGTGTGGTACTTTTCTGAACAACTGTGTTTCAGAGATACAGATGCTCATCTTTCTTAGATATACTTAGAGTCACATTTGGCATGACTCCAGTATTCGTGAAAAGGAGCCTGGTGCTTAGGAAGGAGAACTGTAGTAGTGGGAAGCATGCTGGACTTTTGTTTTGTTTGCATGACTCTGGTAACCTATGCATCCTTAATGAAAGCTCTACCATATTGAATTATTAAGAAACCGCTATAGAACAGTAGCATTCTCTATGAACAGGAGTACTTTTAAGTAATATCCATGAAGACTTTTTCTATCAAAATTCTTTCTAAGTATTGCTGTTAAGTGCCATCACGTTAGTTCTGACTCATAGCAACCCTGAATAGGATTTCCAAGGAGCATATGATGAGTTTGGACCATGACGCTGGTGTTCAAACTCACCTTGTGTTCCAGGGCTTATCCTTCAGCACCACACCAGGACTCCTTCTAAGTATAGCCTAATTGATTTAATGCTTGCTATAAATTGGGCTGTGAACTGCAAGGTCAGCAGTTGGAAACTACCAGCTGCTCCGCAGGAGAAAGATGAGGCTTTCTGCTCCCGTAAAGATTTGCAGCCTCGGAAACCCTGTTCAGGAATACTGTGGGTCAAAACCGACTCGATGGCACTTAACAACAACAATAAGTTTTTTAGGACTCCCTGGGGTGGCCCAAATGATTATTCACTTTGCTTCTAAGAGGCTGGTGGTTGGAATCTACCCAGAGATGCCTGGCAAGAAAGTCTTTCCAGAAATTCACTGTCATTAAAAACTATGCACAGTTCTACTCTGAAACACACATGATAGCCATGAGTTGGAATTGACTTGATGGCAATGGGAAAGCACATAGTTTTATTGATGGTATATTCATATATTTGGGAGTTTCAAAAAGTTCGTGGAAAAATTCCATTATCTTTTAATTCCATTTTTTCCATGAACTTCTTGAATGAAGCTCCCTCATATTTGAGTACACAGTAACTTGGATACATACACATTTTCATTGAATTAATTTGTGCATATTGATTTTGGAATCCTGCTGTAGCACTGTAGTATAAATACTTGACCACAAGGTAGGTTTGAACCTAAAGGTCAGTAGTTCAAGCCCACCAGCCGCTCCTTGGAAACCCCATACTGGGTCGTTTTGAGTTGGAATTGACTTGACAACACTTAACAACAACAATAAGCTTATTATCAGGAGGGACACTGGTCCCTGGAGAAGGACATCATGCTTGGTAAAGTGGAGGGTCAGCACAAAAGAGGAAGACCCCCAGTGAGATGGATTGTCACAGTGGCAACAGCAATGGTACAGGACAGACAATGTTTCATTCTGTTGTGCCCAGGGTCACTATGAGTAGGAACCGACACCACAGCACCTCACAGGACCTTAGATAATATTCTTCCACCCCCGTATCCCTACAGTTTCTCTCCCTGAGTTAACCCTTTAAAACAAATAGTAAGAGACCATTATTTTGTTGATCTGATATATAGTACTCTACCTTTTTTTCTTTGAAATAATAGGTGCATTATAAAGGTCAGCTGGGCAGAGCCACTGCCTTAAGCGTAACTCCTGAAATGGAAAGAGTAAAGAAGAATCAAGAAAATATTAGCTCGGCAAGTGGTTTCATCTGTCTATCTGTCTGTCTATCTGTCTGTCTGTCTGTCTGTCTGTCTGTCTGTCTGTCTATCTATCTATCTATCTATCTATCTATCTATCTATCTATCATCTATCCATCCATCCATCCATCCATCTGTATCTATCTATATCTATCTATACCTACCTAACTACCTAGCTAACTGACTGGCTAGCTAACTGACTAGCTAGCTAGCTCTATCTTCTTTGTTTTCTCTCTAAGAAGCTTATAAATAAAAGCTGAAAATTCTGGACTATCTAAAAAGGATGTATCCTTTATTATTTACCTGTAGTTCTGGTTTTTTCTTTTGAAAGTAGAATTTATTTCAATAAACATTTGAAATGTGTTATTTTAGATGACCTCCAATAGCCTGTCGCAGTATAAATCTACTTTATCCTGAAACCCTTCAGTGAATATATTGCCAGATGATACCAGTTATACTTGAAGTTCAGATTATAATTATATGTTAAAATGCTCACTTAAAGATTAATGTAATTTTGGTCAGTGCCTTTTAAAATCATAGTCTCTGATGCTTAAGTTCAACAATTGACATTTTACTGATAGTTTTTATTAAATGATGTTCTTGCTGTTAGGTGTTATCCATTCAATTTTGACTCATAGCTATCCCATGTGACAGAGGAGAACTACCTCATAAAGTTTTCTTGGCTGTAATTTTTACAGAAGCAGATCTCCAGTTCTTTCTTCAGCATTGCCTATGACTGGGTTTGAACCTCTAGCATTTCCTTTAGCAGATAAGAACTTAATGCTTTGCTCTCTGCAAAACAAAATAAAGAAATTAATCATTATTCCCAAAGTAAGGATCTTCCGAAGTTATCAGAAAAACTCTTTAAATACAATTAATATGCAATTCAGTTACATTGAATATACAATCCAAGGTGCTTATTTTGATACTATTCATTCTCTTAATGAATATCTGGGCTTCTGTAGTGAAATGCACATATACCTTCCTGTTTGCAGTAGTTGTTATTTTAATCTTATACCTGGGAGTGTGGTGGTTCCATCTGATAAGTACTAGAGTTTTAACTATAAGGTTCTAGGTTTGAGCCCGCTAGGAAATCCACAGGAGAAAGATAAGGTTTCTGTCTGCCATGAAGCCTTTTAAGGCCTTGGAAACCCTATATGGGGTATCTATGAGTGGAAATCAACTTGAAGGCAAATAATGGCAACAATTTTATACTTAATCAGCTTCACAAAATGACCATTTTCTGAAGATCAGTTGTCAAGACCATAGACAAGACTTCTAGGAAATCTTGAAGAGCTTTCTGTCTAGGGATCAGTTTAAGGCTCCACCATTTACAGCAATTTAGTGGCCCTTTTGTTCAGAGACACTGAGTGTACTCATCATCAATCACCTTGAAGCTGTGCTTTAGAAGACGTTTCTAGCTGTGTTCCTCATTGTTTTTTATTCTTTAGGGAAGGAAATAGAGGAACATAAAAGCAGAAAAATAAATTTGAATTTCATTTAATCTTGGATTTACCTGCTTGATTCAAATATGGAAACCAGTTTTACTAATTACACTACTAGTTAATATTGGTCCCTTACATATATATCAGTTGAAAGAAAGATTTATGTCATTTTAGCTGTAACATTTAAAAGAGAACTTTGAGAGTAAACTTTAGGTTCTTATTATAGAGCAAGGAGTTTTGGGGTAGTATAAGTGATTAAGCTTCGTCTCTCATACTTTGGACATATTGTCAGGAGGGAACAGTCACTGGAGAAGGATGTCATGCTGGGTAAGATGGAGGGTCAGAGAAAAAGAGG